TGAACTCGTTATTAAATTTCCAAACGATTGGCATTTAAACCTTGACAATTTATTCATTTTTAATTTTTCGCAAAAAATCATGGGGTACCCCCCTTATAAAAAAATTAAAAACTGGCGAAAATTTTATTTTTCCAAAATTACACGGAAAGTTATATAAATTTATAGCTAATTTTGTTATCTGTTCAAAACAGTATGAATTTTTGGTGTAGGACCATTTTTGGCCAAGTTACAGCAAAAAAACCAAAAGAAAAAATTCCAATTTTTGTCAAAAACTGAAATCGCGAATTTCCAAAAAAAACCAAACTCGTTTTTTCGCTAAAACGAAGCAGTTTTTTCGCTATAACAAAGCAAATACTGATTCAAAGTATGGATTGTCATACCTTTCTGAACTCGTTATTAAATTTCCTAACGATTGGCATTTAAACCTTGACAATTTATTCATTTTTAATTTTTCGCAAAAAATCATGAGGTACCCCCTTATAAAAAAATTAAAAATTGGCGAAAATTTTATTTTTCCAAAATTACACGGAAAGTTATATAAATTTATAGCTAATTTTGTTATCTGTTCAAAACATTATGAATTTTTGGTGTAGGACCATTTTTGGCCAAGTTAAAGCAAAAAAACCAAAAGAAAAAATTCCAATTTTTGTCAAAAACTGAAATCGCGAATTTCCAAAAAAAAAACCAAACTCGTTTTTTCGCTAAAACGAAGCAGTTTTTTCGCTATAACAAAGCAAATACTGATTCAAAGTATGGATTGTCATACCTTTCTGAACTCGTTATTAAATTTCCTAACGATTGGCATTTAAACCTTGACAATTTATTCATTTTTAATTTTTCGCAAAAAATCATGGGGTACCCCCTTATAAAAAAATTAAAAATTGGCGAAAATTTTATTTTTCCAAAATTACACGGAAAGTTTTATAAATTTATAGCTAATTTTGTTATCTGTTCAAAACAGTATGAATTTTTGGTGTAGGACCATTTTTGGCCAAGTTAAAGCAAAAAAACCAAAAGAAAAAATTCAAATTTTTGTCAAAAACTGAAATCGCGAATTTCCAAAAAAAAAACCAAACTCGTTTTTTCGCTAAAACGAAGCAGTTTTTTCGCTATAACAAAGCAAATACTGATTCAAAGTATGGATTGTCATACCTTTCTGAACTCGTTATTAAATTTCCAAACGATTGGCATTTAAACCTTGACAATTTATTCATTTTTAATTTTTCGCAAAAAATCATGGGGTACCCCCTTATAAAAAAATTAAAAATTGGCGAAAATTTTATTTTTCCAAAATTACACGGAAAGTTTTATAAATTTATAGCTAATTTTGTTATCTGTTCAAAACAGTATGAATTTTTGGTGTAGGACCATTTTTGGCCAAGTTAAAGCAAAAAAACCAAAAGAAAAATTCCAATTTTTGTCAAAAACTGAAATCGCGAATTTCCAAAAAAAAACCAAACTCGTTTTTTCGCTAAAACGAAGCAGTTTTTTCGCTATAACAAAACAAATACTGATTCAAAGTATGGATTGTCATACCTTTCTGAACTCGTTATTAAATTTCCTAACGATTGGCATTTAAACCTTGACAATTTATTCATTTTTAATTTTTCGCAAAAAATCATGGGGTACCCCCTTATAAAAAAATTAAAAATTGACGAAAATTTTATTTTTCCAAAATTACACGGAAAGTTTTATAAATTTATAGCTAATTTTGTTATCTGTTAAAAACAGTATGAATTTTTGGTGTAGGACCATTTTTGGCCAAGTTACAGCAAAAAAACCAAAAGAAAAAATTCCAATTTTTGTCAAAAACTGAAATCGCGAAATTCCAAAAAAACCAAACTCGTTTTTTCGCTAAAACGAAGCAGTTTTTTCGCTATAACAAAGCAAATACTGATTCAAAGTATGGATTGTCATACCTTTCTGAACTCGTTATTAAATTTCCAAACGATTGGCATTTAAACCTTGACAATTTATTCATTTTTAATTTTTCGCAAAAAATCATGGGGTACCCCCTTATAAAAAAATTAAAAACTGGCGAAAATTTTATTTTTCCAAAATTACACGGAAAGTTATATAAATTTATAGCTAATTTTGTTATCTGTTCAAAACAGTATGAATTTTTGGTGTAGGACCATTTTTGGCCAAGTTAAAGCAAAAAAACCAAAAGAAAAAATTCCAATTTTTGTCAAAAACTGAAATCGCGAATTTCCAAAAAAAAACCAAACTCGTTTTTTCGCTAAAACGAAGCAGTTTTTTCGCTATAACAAAGCAAATACTGATTCAAAGTATGGATTGTCATACCTTTCTGAACTCGTTATTAAATTTCCTAACGATTGGCATTTAAACCTTGACAATTTATTCATTTTTAATTTTTCGCAAAAAATCATGGGGTACCCCCTTATAAAAAAATTAAAAATTGGCGAAAATTTTATTTTTCCAAAATTACACGGAAAGTTATATAAATTTATAGCTAATTTTGTTATCTGTTCAAAACATTATGAATTTTTGGTGTAGGACCATTTTTGGCCAAGTTAAAGCAAAAAAACCAAAAGAAAAAATTCCAATTTTTGTCAAAAACTGAAATCGCGAATTTCCAAAAAAAAACCAAACTCGTTTTTTCGCTAAAACGAAGCAGTTTTTTCGCTATAACAAAGCAAATACTGATTCAAAGTATGGATTGTCATACCTTTCTGAACTCGTTATTAAATTTCCTAACGATTGGCATTTAAACCTTGACAATTTATTCATTTTTAATTTTTCGCAAAAAATCATGGGGTACCCCCTTATAAAAAAATTAAAAATTGGCGAAAATTTTATTTTTCCAAAATTACACGGAAAGTTTTATAAATTTATAGCTAATTTTGTTATCTGTTCAAAACAGTATGAATTTTTGGTGTAGGACCATTTTTGGCCAAGTTAAAGCAAAAAAACCAAAAGAAAAAATTCCAATTTTTGTCAAAAACTGAAATCGCGAATTTCCAAAAAAAAAACCAAACTCGTTTTTTTGCTAAAACGAAGCAGTTTTTTCGCTATAACAAAGCAAATACTGATTCAAAGTATGGATTGTCATACCTTTCTGAACTCGTTATTAAATTTCCAAACGATTGGCATTTAAACCTTGACAATTTATTCATTTTTAATTTTTCGCAAAAAATCATGGGGTACCCCCCTTATAAAAAAATTAAAAATTGGCGAAAATTTTATTTTTCCAAAATTACACGGAAAGTTTTATAAATTTATAGCTAATTTTGTTATCTGTTCAAAACAGTATGAATTTTTGGTGTAGGACCATTTTTGGCCAAGTTAAAGCAAAAAATCCAAAAGAAAAAATTCCAATTTTTGTCAAAAACTGAAATCGCGAATTTCCAAAAAAAAACCAAACTCGTTTTTTCGCTAAAACGAAGCAGTTTTTTCGCTATAACAAAGCAAATACTGATTCAAAGTATGGATTGTCATACCTTTCTGAACTCGTTATTAAATTTCCTAACGATTGGCATTTAAACCTTGACAATTTATTCATTTTTAATTTTTCGCAAAAAATCATGGGGTACCCCCTTATAAAAAAATTAAAAATTGGCGAAAATTTTATTTTTCCAAAATTACACGGAAAGTTTTATAAATTTATAGCTAATTTTGTTATCTGTTCAAAACAGTATGAATTTTTGGTGTAGGACCATTTTTGGCCAAGTTACAGAAAAAAAACCGAAAGATAAAATTCCAATTTTTGCCAAAAACTGAAATCCCGAATTTTCAAAAAAAAAAACAAAACTGGTTTTTTCGCTAAAATAATGCAAATACTGATTCAAAGTATGGGTTGTCATACCTTTCTGAATTCGTCATTAAATTTTCTAACGATTGGCTTTAAACCTCGACATTTTATTTATTTTTAATTTTTCGCAAAAAATTATATATTAAAAATTGGCGAAAATTTTATTTTTCTAATATAGATAATTTTGTTATCTGTTCAAAAGTAAAGTAAAGTATGGCATTCAATCAATTGACATTTAAACCTAAATTTTACTCTTTTGTCATTTTCCGCAAAAAGTTGTAAAAATGCGAAAATTGATCAGAAAATAAAATTTCCAGAAAGTCACAGAATTCGTTAGTATAGGTCGTTAGCTGTTCAAAACAGTCGGTCTTTTGTTGTCGGCCTTGATTTGTCTAAACTACTACTGAAAAACCGTCAAATATTTTAATCCTTATTTTCCACCCTAAATAGGTAGTCTGTATTAATATTTTTTTAATAAAAGTATTAAGTCTTTTAATGCCAAAGGCGTAAGAACTTTAGTAATTTATATATAATAGTAAAAATAGTAAATAACTATATATTAGTGCTTGTGCACTTACTATCACACTTGAAAATTGATAAAAATGGAAGTGTGACAAAAACAAAATTTTCAAACCGATATGATAACTTTAACCTAGGGCCACTTATTCTACACATTTGCTCGTATATGCAAAATGATCAAAAAGATGGTGTCTTTCATTTGTTTGACAGTCCATTATATAAAGCCAGAACTTTCTTTGTTCTTGGTAAAGGTTATTCCTAATTGAGCAGCTGTCTGATGGAGATGCAGATAGGTGACTTTTCCAAGGGTTTTGTTTTGCTGGCCGGCTCTAAAATTAAATGCTCCGTGTTTCCTGGGAGCAACAGTCCACCGGCGATTGTGCAGGTGCAGCATCGAGGTGCTCGGCTATCTGGGGGCGATCTGCCGGAGCTATCGGTGGGTATCGCCAATATGATATGGTGGAAGCCCCGCCAATCTGACTATCTGGCTATCTCCCCTTGTGAGTCCACGCTGCATAGATAATGCCAAATTAGTTTCGGACTTTGGGTGGTGGTGGCTTAATTAAACCCAAACCATACACACATATCAATGGCCGAAGGTGTATTTGCAAATCGGAGCAGCCGGATCGCCACTCAACTGATATGGCTCCGTCGGATCTTCTATATAAACAAAGACCGAGGTTCGGCCAGCAAACACTCGACAGTGAAACCATCTAGTAGCAACATGAAAGTGATCAACCTGTGCCTTCTGGTCGTGGCCGCGGCCAGCTTCCTTCTGACCACCGCCAACGTAAGTCGGGAAACCCAGAAAACACTAAAATAATACAAGACTCAAGTGCCAACAAATGCAAGCTTTAAAAAAAAAAAAATGTGACTAAAACAAAACTCTTTTTTTTTTTAAATAATATTACTGTGTGTTTAAAAAATATACCTTTAACTTGTTTAAAAGTTTTAAAGGATTTTTTGCTATTTTATAGTTGGTTTTAAATTAAACTTCTTTTGAAGAATTAAAGTGAGAAATTTCATTTACAGTAAAAATGATTTATGAGTAATCTAAGCGAAATTATTTTTAATTTACAAAAACTAGACTGAACGCTATTCGTGTACCTCGACTATCAAATACCCGTTACTCAGCTAAATGAGTGTGAGAGAGATCGAGGTATGCAAGCAGCAAAGAAAACAGTCGCCATCTAGCGGAAAATGTATTATTTCTCATAACTTTTTAGTGAATGGTGCGATTTGAAAATTTTCTTTTACAATTCGATTGGTATTAGGAAAGACAACAAAAGGCATACATAATTTATCCCGAATACAATATATCTCCTTAAAATAATTAAAAATTAAAAATTTCTAGGCCAATGCCGTGGGTGACTTCGAGGACTTTGAGGCCTACACCGATGCCGAGATCGAGCAGATGATCGCTGACGAGCTGGGCGAAGGCGAATTTATGGGCGTCGATCAGTTGGGACTATACAAAATTTTGTTGGCTGGCTACAAGGGCGTCAACGGCACCCTGTGCCTCATCGACGAGGTGGCCGACATCATGCTCTCCTGCACCGGTTACGTGACGGACCTGGCCACCTGCACCGGTAACATTCCCACGGACGTGAAGGCCGTGCTGAAGCACATCACCAATGCCATTGATATTGGCTCCGAAATCACCCACTTTAAGACCGAGCTTTGCGCCTCGAAGACCAGGGGCATCGTTTCCGGTGCCGAGAAAGCCGCTAAATGCGCGGTTAAACTTTCAGTGAAAACCTTGTCGATGATCCGCCAAGTGAGCGATGCGATCAAACTAACCGGACTTTTCCCTACGAAAACCGGCAACTGCTACGTCTCATCCACCAAATCGGTGGTCGGTGATTGCAAGGCCTTCGTGCCCAACCTCAAGTCCTGCGTCACCCACATGACCTCTTAAGCGGTCCAAAAAATTGGTAATAAAACCATGAGATTATGAGCAAAACAGACGAACTTCTTCTGATTCGGGGGTCATTTGGTTGGGGTTAGCTAAAGTAGCACTTTGATCACCAAGGAATATGATAAACAATGGTCCTTTATAGATAGAAAACTTCAAGAACTAGAAAGAAAATTCGGGGTAATTGGAAACAAAAACCCAATTAAATTCGTACGAAAATTCTAATTGATTTACCCTTTGGGCAAGAGCCCCCATTAATGCACCATTAAATTTTTTAAATTATATATATATTTATTGATTCATTCGTTCGCTTGTTTATTTATAGATGTAATATGTATTTAGGTAATTAATAATAATATTGTTTGAGCCGCGTATATAAAAACAAATAACAATAAAAAAATGCTTAACCGAGACAATTAAATTAATGCCATTACTTAGTAAATTCAAGCCGAGTCGCAAAAAAAAATAGTCAAATAATGGAGAGTAAAAATGATAAAAATAAAAATACAACACCGAAATAGAACTCAAGGACAGCAGCTAAGATTAGATATATACGCTTGTTTCGCCATGCGATACTGCCCCCTAGGAATAACAATAATAATAATATTCTTTTTGCCAAATTAAAAAAAAAAAACACATCGAGTACAATTAGGTGTAATAATAGTAATAATAGGGGTTATGATAATGCATATAGTACAATGTAAGTAGCTAGAACTTAGACTTAGTTTTTATGGGCTTCTATTTCTCCTGTTATAATTGCACATGCTTTAGGTTAATCGAAAAAAAAAACAAAAAAAAATCGAGTGATAGGATGGGTTTCTTCTGGGCTCTACATCGTATTTAAGATCGTAATTTAGATCGCATTTAGATCAGGCTGAGGCGACTGTTGGTCTTGCGCAGCTGGGCGCGCCACGGGATGATGTTGTCCTCCTGCTCCTCCTCGCCTCCTCTTCCCTGACTGCCCTCCGATGGTTCGAGTAGCTCCTGGACTCCACCGCCGCCCTGCTCCTGATCCTCCTGACTGGCCAGCTTCGGATCGCCATGGTTCTCCTTGTTGCCCAACTGCAGGAGCTGCTGCTGATGCTGCTGCTGCTGGAACTGGATCTGCTGGTAGTGCTGCTCCATGCCGGCCAGATTGATGTTGATGTTGTCGATGGACATGGCGCGGTTCTTCAGCCGCCAGGTGTCCGCCACCCGGTTGTTCTCCTCCACCTTGGGCGTGTAGATGGCCGCCCTAGAAGAAGGTTGACAGACAGTTGAGGCCAGGGGTCAGGAGACTCCCCACTAGCCACTACACCCACTTACTTCAGCTTGTTCTCCGTCTCCTCGCGCCGAGCCAGTAGGTCTCGCTTCCATTGGGGAATCTGGGAGAGGCGGCGCGACTCCGCCTCCTGGGCCATGCGCTCCTCGAAGTCCTTCTTGGCCCGCTCGGCCGCCTTCTTGGCCATCATCTGGCGCTTCCAGTCGGGTATGGCGTTGCCGGCCTGGTCCCGTTCCGGTATCTGCAAGTAGATCTTTGATCCGCCCCTTAGCCACCGATCGTTTGAGTGTTCCAGCTGGCCAAACACTCACCTGATCCACGTAGTTGTTGCCCGAGAACTGCTTGGTGATCTCCATGTAGTGCTCCGAGTCCATCCGACTGGCCATCTGCTGTTCCACCTTCATCTTCTTGATGCCGGGTATGTCCTTGGAGATCTTCAGCTCGGCAATCAGGTCGGACTTGAGATAGGTGTCCGTGCTGGAGGTCAGGCACTGCATGCTCAGGCTGCGCGCGGGCATCTGGTAGGGCTTCGGCACCTTCTGCGTGTCCGTGCGGCGCAGCTGGAGGGGATTGGGTGTGGGAATTGGAAAATACAAAGTTTTGGTTTCTAATTAAATTTTTTTTAATTTTTAGAGACTTTAAATTGACTGGAAAATGGCTACATTCATCGCTTAATTAATTTATTTTTTTTTTAATAATTTATAAGAAGTTTATATTAGTAATCAAAGGGATTAAAGAATAGTTTTCATATATGTAACCTTTACTTTTTAATTTTTAGATTGATTTGATTTGCCTGGAAAATGACTACTTTTATTGCCTATTTTATAATTTTCTTTTTATTACAATAATTTAAAATATAAAATAAAAAATTACTGTTATTATTAAAATTTTTAGAGACTTTAAACTTTGATTTGCCTTGAAAATTACTAATTTTATTGCTTACTTTTTAATTCCTTTTTAATGAAATAATTTCAAATGTAAAATAAAAAATCATTTTGGTATTCTTTTTAGCTAAAAGTCCCAAATTAATAATAATCCCTGTTTTTCAGTTTCCTTTTTTTTTGTTTTTAAAGATTAACTCTTTTAAGAACTGTAATAAGTTCCAATGATAAGTAACTAAATATAGGCACTTTATAAATGTTAGGAACTTGTAAGTTTGTATTCTCTATTATTTAATTATTCTTATATGTGAAATAATTCTATATAAGTTGATTAATATATGAGATATGAAGCACTTTAGATATGCATACACCATTATTTCCTATAGACTTTAGATCTGGAATGCTCGCTCACCTGGACGCTGTTCAGATCCTGAATGGAGATGGCCGACAGTGGCTGGTGCTGCTTCCTGGAGGCCGTGTCCTGGCTGTTGGGCGCCGAGCCATGCGGCTTCTTGGGCTTGTGCGACTTGCCGGAGATGGTGGCATCCTGGCCACCGGCCCCGCCCCCGCCTACGCCCCCGCCCATCGGCGGACCCATCGGCGGCTGCGGCGGCAGCATTCCGTGGGGCAGCGGCGGTGGCGGAGGAGGCAGAGGGGGCTGCTCGCCCATTCCATGCAGCTGGTGGGGGTGCTGATGGTGCGGATGGGGATGGGGATGGTGCGGATGTGTGGGATGTGGATGCGGATGCGACTGCGGATGCTGCGAGTGGAGCTGCGAGTGGTGCACCTGCTGCTGCTGGGCGATCTGTATCTGCATGTAGTCCTCCGTGTCCGTGGAGCTGTGGGTTGCAAAAGAGTTTGGGATTAGTGATCTAGAGATCTTCTCCACTTTCACTGGTGGGTGGTGGCTAGTTAGTGGGCAGTGGGCGGTGGGCGGACCTGCGCCAGGCGTGGCGTGTGCGCAGTATCATCTTCGGATTGCAACTGAGTTGCAGTGGCAGCTGCAACATCGCAGCTGCGGCAAGAAAAGTGGCAGGCCGCAAAGTGGCACGCATAAAATTTCATGCACTCTTGAGCGGCTGAGGAAGTGGCGAATCTCTCAGGCAGAAGAGCTGTTCACTTGGCTTTAAAATTAGATTTCTTGGAAAAGTGTTAAGATAATAATTTATAAAAAAATCAAAATTAATAAAATCAATTTAAAGAAAGTAAGCATGTAAAACCTTTTTAAAATATTGTTTTCAAAATTTAAATTACATTTAGTATACATTTAAGAAATACTTCATTTTTTTTGATTTTTTTTAAATCAGAAGCATTTTGTAAAATGCTTTAAATTAATTTTGAATTGAATTTTAAAGATATTACTAATTTTTGTACCAATAAAAACATAAATAAAATCATAAAAATGCATTTAGACTGAACTTAGCTATTTTCTCTCTAGGGAAACCTATTAAAAAACTTTTCTGTGAATCATGAAAACTGCGTTCGATTTTCCTTAGCTATTTTCCCGCTTTTCCCGCCTGTGGAAAAGCCGCAGCACTGAGATCTAGCCATCTGCTAGCTGCTAATTGCCCAGCGGCAGCCAACCGTCTTTGCAGCCATGTATATTTTTTTATATATGTTATTTTTTTGTATTTCGTATTTTTTCCTTTGGATTTTGGCTAATTGAGGCGAGGCAACTGTACCGCTGAGCCGAGATACTAATTATAAAGAGCCGCTGCACGAGATGTGCAGCCAAATTAAATCGGCTGTCGGCTGTCGGCTGCCATGTGCTAATTGAAAGTCGGAGGATGGAGTATGGACTAGGGAGTATGAAGTATGGATTATAGATCACTCACCGGGCGGAGGATGGACACGAACGCTTGTCGATGCTGATGCTCTTGAGATACTCGGACGGCTTGATGAGATGCGTGACGCCGTCTTGTGATTTATTGGGAAAACTGGGCGGCACAAACGGCAGCACGAGCTGCTTGTTGACCAGATTGGGTCCGCCGGTCCGCTGTCCTCCTCCTCCGTTGGCCAAGTGGCTCTCCCCGTAGATCTGCTGGTGCTGCTGCTGGCTGAGCTCGTAGTGGTCCTCGTACAAATTAGGGGTGTACTGATGGGGCTGACCAGTGGGCTGTTGGTAATGCTGCGGCTGCTGGTAGTTCCCATTGCCATTCACATGGCTCCTCTGATTTCCTCCCTTCGGACCCTCTGAGTACCCATAGAAATGGTTATTATCATTCCCATTTCCATTACCACTTCCAGGCGATGGGGAATCCTCCGGATTAACTGCAGCATTAACTCCATTTGGGCTGCTGGCATTGAGCAGCTTGGCTTTCTTGTTCGCTGGAATTGAACCAATTTATTTATGAGCTTGTGAGCAGTTTGTGGGTTAGCAGTTATCACAGTCTGACTCTGGTCATGCTAGCTTGAGCAGCCAGCAAATGAGAAATAAAATACAGAGGAGACAGTAGAAAATACGCTGCGTAGGCGCCTTTCACCAGACGGAAAACGGAGCCCCAGTTGCATATATAAAAAAAGAGCAAAACATAAAAAAAAACACGAACAATCGCACAGCTACATCAAATAAATTACATTTAGACAGACTCAAGAAGTGGCAAAAATAAGTGCTAGAAAATTAATTTCCTAGATATATCATTTTCCATATAGTATTTATTCTAATTCCAAAAGCCCAAAGATAATTGCGTTTTAAAGTTCATTAACTTCAGATATGATTACTAATTGCATACAGATATGGGTAATCGTGTATTCCAATTAGACAGGGTAAAAAGTTCCATTAGACTTGCGATAAGGGGACAACTTAAGGGTTCTTAAGATTACAAAAAGTCTGCAAGAGATAAGCATTCAAATGTGCCTTTGATTGCGGCTAAAAGTCCATAAAATATGTTGCTAGAACCTAAATTAGGCATTATTAATTATTTCATATATATATAGGTATTTATATATATTTTGTAATATATTTTTATACTATTTTATATATTTTTAAATTTTATATATTTCTATAAGTTTGTATTATTATTTATATAAGTTGGATTTATTTTGTATATAATTTTTAAATTTTTTGTTATATATTTATATAACTTTATACAATTTTTAATATTCAAGAGCCCAATTCCAGATTCTTATTATAATATCCAGTGTTTTTACTCATTGCTTCCCCTGATCTCGCTGAAATTTGATGGAAAGCTGCCAGCTTCCTGGGAAATCTCTTTGGCGGCTGAATGATTATCCGCACACGCGGAAATATGACTCCCTCGTAATTTCGTGGGAGTATCCCCATAAAAATTGAATTAGCCGCCGCTTCCATCGAAATCACCCCGTGTCTCCGTCTCCGCTCATATTCAGTATTCAATTTTCCTGGCAGCCGGTTAATTGGCCAGACCCCATCTAAACCCGATCGCATTGGGTCCCCAACTTTCACGGCCTCTGGTAACCCGTTTCCATGGCGATCGTTACGTGGTCTGCCACTGCGATTGAGATGCCGAGATGGCCGTGCAGATTCATGGCTGCACTCTTATGGCCAAAACCACTCGCTATCGAGTCCAGCCAGTTTGCAATGAATTTATCCACTCGATGCGGGGCGAAAAACAAAGACGAACGAACGAAATGCACACATTTTTCCACATGTCCCCACACATTTTACATTTTATCTGTCAATTTGTGCGGACCGAAAACCGAAAAAGCGGTTTAGTTTGTACTTGTCAAGTTCGCGGTGAAATTCGAAATTGGAGTTGATGTCCAGTTCGGTTTCGTTTGCGGTTTTACGAGTGCAATGCCTGGCCATCGTTAGTAAGATATATATATGCAGCTTTGTTCAAATTGATTTAAGTGATTCGCTTTAAAAATGCTAGACAAAATGCCTTGAAAGCTGCCTATTTAAAAATCGTACAGATGGATATTTTAATTTAGGCAAGACTTTTCTTCAATTAATGGATTAATAAGGAAGCCATAAACATGAAAGGAATATTTTAATTGATTATTTATATATAAATTTTAATTGTAATTTTAAAGTAAGAATATTATTGAGAAGCAGATGGAAAATTTGTTTATATTCAAAATAAGCAAACAACATTTTCTAATAAAATTTTCTTGTATTAGCTTCGGTATAAAAAATAGTTCCCTGAATTTTAATAGGTTGCAAAAATTCCCTATCATTTTCCATCATTTGTTCACATTTTTATTGCATTTTTTAATGCAAAAATATTATTAAAAAAAATAAGTAAGCACTTTTCACTAGCGAATATATCCTTTTAGTATATTTCTTTCTTCGTAATCACTTACACCGAAAAATGTCGAACCGATGGAAGCTGAGCGTGAAATAATTACGACGCGAATTCTTGTGGATCTTCACCGAGCCCAGCATGTTCATTGTGATTACTGCTTGGTACACTATCACTGTATTATCAGGCACATTATCAGGAGCTATTAGGCGGTTATCGCGGCACTTTTATTAGAGAAGACCCTGAAGACGCGGCTCCCACTTCGGGTGACGATGTTGCCTGGGCGAGCTCCGTTGGCAGCCTGAACTGGGTTCAAGCCATCGCCAAAGTTATTCACCCAAGACGACTCTGAAGTCAGCTCCGCCACGAGAGCGAGCGCTTCGCGAAACACGTTCACTTTCGTGGGTAAAAGTTTCCAGATCCACGAGCCGATTGCCAGGAGGCGGCGGTGGAGGCGTGGCACATATGTGGGCGGTGGTGCGGGTGGTGGGTTGCCGGTCGGCCAATTATTATGATGGGCAAAAGTGTGGGACATTCGCTGGCAAATTGCTTCCTCATCGCGAATCGGGGATGCCACATGTCCAGTGCTTGTACAATCATGCTACATGGTATATGAATTTTTTGCCTTGAAGGCTTTTTAACCCAACGACAATTGACAATTATTTTCGTTCCAGACACTTAGAAAAACTATCTTAAATTTAAAGTAAGCCTTAAACTTTAAGCTCTAAATTCCCATACGTTTTCAGGGTTTTACTTTAAATTTAATTTATTAAACTATGGCCTGTTTTCAAAACTAGACCTGCGGTCGAGAAAATTATAATTATTATATGTAATTATAATTTAATTATAACATTTTTATTAGCTTATTTCGCTTTTAGTTCGGACTACAAATTGAATATTTCCTTTTTTAATTGAAGTAAATAAAAAATGGTTAGAATGTTTTTGAAATATTTTAAGCAATAGAAGGTGAATAAAAACTTTGGGACTTTTTTGGGAATTTTTCCGAGTGCAGCTGATATCCCATGACTTATGCCTCATACGGCAGTCAAGTGGCTGGGATTGTTTTCATCGCTGGCACTTCCACTTTTTCACTTTTCCCGACTTCCACTTCTTTGTTTTGGCCACATTTTCCACGGATCTTTGCCGCCTTATCGTGTGAACGAAGCGTCGGCTCAATTAAAGCCTCTCTCCATTTCCATTTCCATTTCTCCTGCCTCATCGGACATAATGGGCAATTAACGAATGGAAAATCGGAGCCAACACATGTCAAACATGGCAGCTATCATTCGCATTTTTTTAGTTTTTTTCCTGCGTACTTACGACTTTTGTGGCAATTAAGTAAAGACCCGATATTTATTGTGTGATAATGAGGGTTATTGTCTTAACACTTCTGTAAGTCGACTAGGAAAACGACTATTTAGATTTCGAAGTAATGATTAACAGTGATAACTTTAAGTCAGGGATCTTGAAATATTTTGTAAATATTTTACAGCAATATAAAAAGAAATACAAAAATATTTTTTAGATGGGTTTTTAATTAATTTGTTTGAATTAGGAGAAACTTAAGCCCAATCAGTCATACTTTGCAAATAGCTTTGTTAACACGGCAATCAGCACACCATTTTCTCAAAAAGCCAACACTTCAATCAAGATGTAACCATTATCCCAGCCAATGGATGGATAACAGGTTCTCCTCGGGCAACTTGTTGCTGTCTTTTCGCACTGCAGGGCACCTGACTGCCGTTGTGTTGGCAAACTGCAAACATGACTGGCGAATTTCCCCTGATTGATCAATCAATGTGGACGGTGGACAGTCACAAGCCACTGACGATGCGGAACCCCCCCGATATTCCCGGGGAGTTCAAAGACCTGGCTGGTGGTTGTGGAACTTTTTAATTAATTAATGAATTAATGGGGAGGAGGACACATCGCCTCTTTCTTCGTTTTTGCCAGCTTCTTAATGCGATGACGACACATATTGGTCCTGGAGTAATAGTTTCCCACACTGCAATGATGGCACAGGAATTGGGTAACAGTGGTTTTTTTGTTACCCGCCTTTCCCTTGGCGGCCTTCTTCCTCTTTTGGCAACCCTCCATTCCCAACGTAATAACCGAGGGATTGGGCCAAATGGGAGCACCCGGCGGGGCCACCTTTACATGGGAGAGATGACAGTCCAAGAGATCGCGATCCCGTTCGCATGTCTTCTTGGGGTCCAGGGAGTCCAGAAATAGGGTGGCATTCCCGACGCTATAAACGATATAGGTGTTCTTCGTTTTGGGCTCACTTTCTGCCCGAAGCTTCTCGCTCCAGGTCACCGAATCGGGGTCACCAGTCTTGTTGACACTCATGGTGCTGTACTCCAAATCAAACGAATGTTGCTCTGAAGGAATTGAGCATTTGAAAATTTTGACAAATTTCTAGTAACCGAATGTAAGACTTCGGAGGAGATATTTTCTGGGTGATGAGCCTTTTAGATATATAACATTTTTTTCAGGGGCTACTGTATCCCATATTATTTCGTATCCAAAGAGAAGTCATTAGGAATAAGAGAAATTAGGAATAAAATCTAATTAAATTCCCATTAATTCTCCTATTAAGAACGCGAATTCTTCAGTTTATGCATAATTTTCATTAATACCCACCCCTATTTATAGAGAACGCGAATTCTTTAGTTTAGAATTCCCATTAAAAAGGTCACTTTTATATGGAAATATTTATGAAGTGCTTTAGACTCACCCGATATGGTGGACATGGTGCGATTATGATTGCCGCGCACCAGTTCCGATGGCCTCAGGCTCGGCTCCTCGACCACCTCGAGTCCGGAATCCGAGTCGGCGGCTTCTGTGGCCACGGGATTGGGATTGGGAACTGGGGGAGGAGCTGCTCCGCCACCTGCTCCATTGGCAGTGGTTGGAATCGGATTCGATCCAAAGACATTCTTCTTGTAGATGCCATTGTTGTTGTTGCTGCTGTTGTTGTTGTTGTTGTTCATATTGTTCGGCTGCTCTGAGTTCAAGTTGTTGCGTTGCTGCTGAACGGGTGCCCTTAATGGTGGCGGCAACGGAGGTGGAGGTGGTCCATTGACTGCAGGTTGAGTAAAAAACATTATAATTATTTAATAATTATTTTTAAAGATATTTTTAAAGATTTTAAAAAATTTTAAGAGCCTAAAAGAAGGAAAATGTTGTAATTATAATGTTGGGTGACTATTTACACAAGATATATTTCTTAATTTTCAATAATTTAAGGGTAAATTTTCCCTTATTTTTCCGACTTACCCACTGCCAAATTTTGCATGGGTGGCGCCGAGGAGACCCGCTTGAGATTCCTGCTGCTCTGATTGCCGCCGTTCATGTTGCTGATGTTGCTGATGCTGCCGCTGTTGTTGTTGCTCATGTTGCTGTTGCCGATCGAGGCATCTGCCAGGTTGTTGCGGATCATGGAGTTCTTGTGCGTCTGCTTGGTCCGCTCGGCCACGTCCTCCGGCGGACAGACGGACTCGTAGGTGTCGCTCTTGATGCCGCCGTTGAGCAGCTGATTCTTCAGATTCACGTTCTTCGCACTGTAGTTGTCCTTCAGCGAGGACTCGTACTTGCTGCTATGCAAGCCGATGATCGAATGCGATTTATTGCGATTCAGCAGACTGTTGTTGCTGTTGTTGTTGAGTGCGATATTGCTGCTGCTGTTGTTGATGTTGCTGCTGTTGTTCATGTTGCGCTTGTTGTTCAAGTGCTGCAGGTATACAAATAAAAGGTAAATATTAAAATAATGTTTAGAAGTAGAAATAAGTTAATCAATTGTAGCCAGGAAATATGTTATCCATTGGAAATAAATAAAAAAAAGTATTAAAAAATATAAATAAATAAAAAAGAATACAAAAAATAAAAAAAATATATAAATAAATAAATATGAAAATAGGTTGTTAATAATAATAAATAATAAACAAATTGAAATAAATAATAGAATAATAAAAAAAGCAAAAAAATAAGAAAAACTAAAAAAATAAATAAATAAAAAATATTTATAAGTAAGTAAAGAAAGAAAATATATAGAAATGGATAAATAAAGAAATAAATTACATGATTGCTGTACTGCAGCACAATGTCCGTGCTCCTGGTGGAACTGGCGCTGGCCGAACGCGAATGGGAGCCACTGTCCCTCGACCGCGAGCGTCCCACGTTGTATTTATGCTGCTGCTGCTGCTGCACGGCCTGCAGTTGCAACTGCTGCTGTTGCTGCTGCAACTGATGTTGCTGCTGCTGCTGCTGTTGGTGCTGCTTCCGCGACTCCTCGCGCACCAGGTAGATGTCCTCGTAGTCATGATCCCCGCCGCCATTCTGATTATTTTGGGAGTGATTATTGCTCGCCATCAGGCCCTTGCTTAGCTTGTAGTTGCTGCCGCTCTTGATGTTGCCGCCGCCTCCGCTGATGTTGCTGCTGCTGCCGTGGCGATTGAAGCTCTGGCTGCGCAGCTGCTGCTGCTGCTTCGGCGAGTTGAAGCTGGACGAGATGGACACCGACTCGTCGGAGCCACTGCCCGCGCCACTCGAACTGGAATGGACATCGGCCTGGATGGTCATCGCATTGCCCGCCTTCGCTTGGAGCAGCTGGCTGTGGGAGTGGGCGTGTGCGTGGCTCTTACCACCATGCTGCTTCACACTGCTGCTGCAATCGGAGTCCACGAAGAGATCCCTCACCCGGTTGTAGATGATGTCCTGCGGATCGTGCAGGAAGAACGACTCCCCGGAGATGCTGCCATTCGGCGAGGGCGTATTGTACATCCCTCCATTCCGCATGGGATTCACATACAGCCCATCGTTGGGCAGCATGGCCGTTCCTCCTCCTCCGCCGCCTCCTCCTCCTCCTCCGCCGGAAGAACTGTTGCCACCCGGATTGCCGCCCAGGGAGGACGAACCATTGTATAGCTTCTCGGAGGAACTCCGCGATTGCTGCGAGTACAGGGCATCGCTGTTTTTCCTCGATATCCCCATGCCCATGCCCATTCCCATGCCCATGCCCATGCTCATGGCCATGCCCATGCCCATTCCCGATCCTCCAGCTGCTATGGCCGGCGGATGCAGATAGAAGGGCTCCACATCGGAGCTCAGGGTGGAGGAGGACTTGGACTTGATCGTATTGCTGCGACTGGTCTGCTTCGAGGAGTTCGAGTTCGAGTTGCAGCTGCTGCTCAGGTGTTGCTGCTGCTGCTGCTGATGTTGCTGGTGGTGGTGCTGCAGTTGCTGCTGCGACTTGTGCCGCTGCGAGCTGCTGCTCTTGCCATTGTAGTCCACCGAAGTGCCATGCTGGACCAGGACATTCAGGCACTAGAAAAAGCAAATTAAATAATTCTTTATATTTAAAATTAATTTATTTAAATTTAAAACCCACCTCAACCTGCTGATTTTCGGCCGCATCGTTGATAGGCGACTTGCCATATTTGTCCAGGGACAGTTTCGCTCCATGGTTGAGCAGCCAGCGGACGACGGACAGGTGACCCCGGGAGGCGGCAAAGTGCAGGGGCGTGGCTCCATCCCCATCTCGCAAATTGGGATCCACTCCCTGATCCTGGACCTTTAAAGAGAAAGAGAAACCACATACATACATGTAATAAAATAACGTAGAATACTTAAAATTAAACGAAACCGCGTAAAAATACCAGAAATTTTCTATGACCATATCGATTTGATATGAAATCTCGAATTTTAAATTTCCTGCAACCACAAATAGAACGATAACGCGTATAAATATTAGAAATTAACCATGCGCATTTCGATTTGATATAAAATCTCGAATTTTCTGTACAACAAAAAATGCTACATCACCACAAATGATCTATTAATGTCTCTTTAGTCTTGTCTACTTGCAGCCAATCCATCTGAAAGCCTGAGTACTTCACTTATTTCCTGACGAGACGTTGAAGTATCCATTTCTCACTGTCCACTCAACTGGCGGCTCCTTGGACACCAACTCAACCCGATGTCTCGGCCTTTCAGCGTTTTAACTATCATCGCAGACAGTGTTTAAGTTTGTTTTTGTGTTTGTGGAAAGTGGTTTGTAGTGGCCATAATGCCAACTATTTAGTTCAATTTAGAAAGGTGGTTTTCCAACGCCTCTGGCGATGATCTTGAAAATGCATTCTGGCCAACGGGAGGCCTGAGCCATTGTGAGCTTTGCATAGGCCACTCTCTCCACTTCTTGGCCATCGCCTCCTCCGCTTCGATCGGACGCATTCCCCGAATGATAAATGGCACAGGTCTGGCGACAAACTGGCCGGGAATCCCATTGCCCGCTCGAGAACCCCGTTAAGGCCACCGAAACAGGACCCATGGACACCAGCGAAAAGAAACGGGTTCAAAGCCACACTGAGCGAAAGAACGTTCTATAACGTGTTGTTAAAGTGAAAAATTGCATTGTAACGTAATAGAAAGGTCAAGGGAATCATTTAAGAAATATATTATAATATAAAATAAAGATTCCTATAGAACTGCGATAAAATATAAATTGTTCTCCAAATTCGTAATTAGATTTTGGATTAAACAAATTTTGATTTTTTGAAAAATAGTTTTATCGTACTGTATAGTTTTTTTATAAATTAATTTAAATTTATTTCAATGAAAATTAAATCTGGATTGAATATAAAACGAAAATAATATTTTTTTTAAATGTCTTGCAGTGCTTTCTAGTATTATTTGTATCAAGTGGCGGGTGATTTCAGAGGAAATTCGTAGTTGCCTATTTTATGAATACCTATTTCTGTTTACTTTTGAGCCGATTGGATCCGGGCATGGTTTTCTCTAAATGTTTCTATAACTGAATTCTTTTTAATAAGTTTTTTTTAGCCAGTGCAGTTAGCAGCTTTGCAGTTTTGCAATCTGGATTGAATATAAAATGAAAATAATATTTTTTTCAAATGTCTTGCAGTGCTTTCTAGTATTATTTGTATCAAGTGGCGGTTGATTTCAGAGGAAATTCGTAGTTGCCTATTTTTTGAATACCTATTTCTGTTTACTTTTGAGCCGATTGGATCCGGGCATGGTTTTCTCTAAATGTTTCTAGAACTGAATTCTTTTTAATAAGCTTTTTTAGCCAGTGCAGTTAGCGGCTTTGCAGTTTTGCAGTTGGGAGCTTGGCATTCCGGCAATTGACCTGCATTGCCTGCCGCTGTTGGCCAAGTTGGCTGATCGTTAGTGGCTAAAGGCCGAAATTTCAGTTTAAAGCGGAGCACTCACCATCCATTTGAGGCAATCCAAGCAGCCCATTTGTGAAGCGGCATGGATCGGTGCCATGCCGTCGCGTGCGCGGACGTACAAAGAGCCGCCGGCCTCGAGCACCAGAAACTTAAGCACCTCCAAGTGGCCCTCCTGCGCCGCCAGGTAAACGGGCGTGACATCGTTGTCCATTTGCGTATTGGCGCTGCAAGAAAACCCTCATTAGTTGTCAGTCAATTTGGTCTTAAATACAAAGAGTCTAGTGAACGAAAAGTTGCATCGCAAAATCTTACTCAAAATGGCTAAAAGTGTTCTCATTTCGAGCCCCTATATCCATTGGCAATCAACTCAAGATATGTGGTATAAATAACTGCAGTTAATCACTAGAAACGCACTGGGTCACTGGAAAAATCTTCTCGGCTTTCCTCTTCTTTGACCGGTTTTTCACAGTTTTTTCTTTTTATTTTTTTTTGTTGTATTATTGCGGAATATGGGGAGTATATATCATTGATCGATCGATTACAAAGAGAGGTGGAGTGGCAGGCCGAGATTAATCAACTGCCCCATCAATGGAATGGTAATCTGTAAACTGTGCAGAGAATGTGTGGGAAAGGCTATTCAGCTATTTGTCAAGCTGTTCGGGGGATTAAACTCCCATCAAATGTTGACCACTCTATTGATCGAAATTGGGTAACAACTTTTAAGATCAACTCGTAATCGATGTGGATTTTCAAATTTACTATGCCTATAAGTTAATTCACTAAAAGTTTTATTGGCAATAATAAATATTGGAGAGAGTATTTAAGATAAAAAGAAAATGATGTAATTATTCATTAAAATAGAATATCATTAAAATTCAGGTCTTGGTCCATGAAATTGTATTTCAAAGAACAAGAAAACACCCTTGACATGTAATTTCCATTTGTTTGTGGGGGTTATTTTAAGCCTAACTTGTTGTTGCATACTTTTTGAATATCGCATAAAATGGAATATTATTAAAATTCAGGTACTTGGTCCATGAAATTGTATTTTAAAGTATTGTAAATTGCTTGAAATGGTACAATACGTCATTAAAATAACAAAAGAAAAAAACAAAACACAATTAATTTCTTGTTGCATACTTTTTGAGTACCGCATTTTCGCATAAAATAGAATATTATTAAAATTCCGCTTCTTGGTCTATGTAATTGTATTTTAAAGTATTGTAAACGGCATAAAATGGTATTATACGTCATTAAAATAACAGAAGAACAAGAAAACACCCTTGACATGTAATTTCCATTTGTTTGTGGTGGATATTTCACAAATAATTTCTGGTTGCATACTTTTTGAATACTACATTTCCCTTATTCCCCCACCACTAGATTCCCCACCTGACGACGCTGCGTCGGTTGTTCTGCTCCTTGCGCCCCACGCCGCTCATCATGGGCGTGGCCTCGTCATCCTCGTTGGAGTCGCGATCCTCCTCGTCGTCCTCGTTGGCCATCTGCTGGCGCACCGCCTCCGCCTTGCGCATATGGTGGTGGTGCGTCTGGTCCATTTGGCCGGGGGTTTGGCTATCCTGGTGGTGGGGATCCTCCTGGGCTGCTGCCTCCTCGATGAGCGGAGGAGTGGCCTTCGTGTTCGTGGTCTGAGCCTCCTCGATCTCCGAAACTGTGCTTGTGCTGCTGCTGCTGCCGTGGACACTGCTGCTCAGGATGGCGGAAGTCACCACCTCGGTGGCGATGATCGTGTGGATGTCATTGTTCGACTTGGACTTCTGCTTGCTGCGGCGGTAGGAGGTCAGACTGGTGGTCATGCGGCCGAGGAGGCCCTTCTTAACGTTGATCGTGGAGAAGTAGCTGGCGGTGGAGGAGAGGAGAGGAGTAGGTGGCTGTCAGGTGGTTGAGGGGCGGGCGGGGGAGTGTGTGTGTGTTTGAGTGGGTTTCTTTTGCTTTTATAGGTATATAATATTTTTTTTTTATTTTTTAAGGGTTCGAATGGCAGTGCGCTTGGTGCTTGTGAACCTTAATTTATTCGCCTGGTTTAAGCTTACCGTTCACGTTCGATTTTCACTTTCGTTTGTCACTTGATTTTATGATATTTTCCGGTTTTTGTGTTTGTGTATCTTTGATTTTCCTTGTACCGTTAGGCAAACACACACACATGCACATAAGAAAAGGGGTTCGATTTATGGAACTGGTTTAGGAAAAATCACTTAAATGCCGCCGATTTGCATAGCGAGTTTTTCGTTGCAGTCTTTTGTTTTGTATAATATTTTTAGTAGTTAGTTGCTGAAACCGAAAGTCTGCATTATTTTCGACAGCTCTCTGCGGTGTCTGCGATGTGATTAAAGCCCCGATGCTCGATCTGCTCGACAAACTTCTGCTTCTTAGGTATATCGTATATCTTATGCCCATATCTATATAATATGTATATATAAATCTTTTTTAGGTGAAATTAACGCTTAAAAGCGAAACAAAAACCAAGTCAAGGGGAGGAGGTTTCTCTCTTTCGAGTAGTTACGCCTGACTCCCAGTCTAAAATCTGCACTTGTGTTGCTGCTTTGCTGCTTTTGCTGCTGTTACCATTTAGTTGGCCTGGCTTTCCACACGCCACAGTGGGGCAAGAGTGGGTGTGGAGCGCCCCATCCAACGGGAGAATTATAATGACCACTGATCACCGTGATCACGGCAATTTAGCCATCGACACCGAAATTACAGGCCAGCAAAAGGCATACGTTTGGTCAAGCTTTTCAAACTTTAAACGATTGCCCAACATTCAGCCAGCTGAGCTGAGCTGAGTGCCACTAAAATTGTTACCCAACTGGGGAACACTTCATCTTAAATGGTATTTAGAGCAAAAATCAAACCTCTACCTCTTTTTAGATATATGTATTTTTCAGGAACTGTTTTTAAATACTTTAAGTCATTTTTAATCAATTATTTTGGTATACTGATTTATTTTTAACAAAATTCATCAATATATTATTTCTTCAGCGAATTACATATTTATTATTTATAAAAAAATTGTATCAGATTTCCTAAAATTCCAAAAAAAATTGTAACCATAAAACCTAATTTCCCATTTTTTTATTTCCTAAATAAAGTTATAAAATTTACTAAAAAAAAAAATGTATCAGATTTCCTAAAATTCCAAAAAAAAATTGTAACCATAAAACCTAATTTCCCATTTTTTTATTTCCTAAATAAAGTTATAAAATTTACTAAATTTTAAAAGAAAACGTATAAATTTTTTTTTTTATCAATAGAAAATGTTTCTTTTTTTTTCTCATAAATCTGTTATGGGATTTCCTTTATTCCTATTTATTCAGGAAGTTACCAATTTATTTTATAATTTTCCTAAAATGTTAACGAAAATTCCCAAAATGTTTTTTCAAAGAATAGAAAATGTATGTCTTTTTTTTGCCATAAATCAGATATTAAATTTCCGCTGTAGCCCAAAACCTTTAACCCATGGCCCACTGTGCTTTCGTCCGCGGTGCTCCAAAAGATTCGCTGGCCGAACGGAGGCGTCGGAGGAGGCGGCGATGATGATGGGTATAGTATGGTGTATGGGTACGGATACGAGTATCTGTTCACTTAGTCAACTGGCTTACGACTTCATGGATATTGCGCACGGCAGTTGCTTTGGCTTTCTTCGTCCGACTTCGGACTACTTGTTACATTTTCCAGCTTTTCTCGCTTAGAAATGAATTGTAAACCAATTAAAGTTGATTTTTCATCTTTATCCCCCCCTGTTTTATTTTTCCTCTGTTTATTTTTCATATCTTGTGGCTTCTTTAGTAGGTGAAAATACAGTAAGAAATATATATATTCCCAATTTTTTCCTCTTTGCCACTTTTTGTTGCTGTTTCTCTCTATTTGCAATTTAATAATTATTTTTTAATTTATTTAATGTGTCTGGGGGCCGAGCAGAAAAGCAGAAAATGGAATTAAAAAGCGAAATAATTGAGGCAAGGCAGGAGCCTCGTTAGAAATGCCAGTTGACAGTTATAGACTCGTTTATTTAATTGAACATTTGCGTGCTCGAATCGAATGATGGACGATCAGCAGACTCAGCAGTCGATTGTCCATCGCTGAGAGAATGCAGAATGAAAGCCACGCGAGTGACACAAATGGACCCCAGGGAGATGAGAAGATACAGGGGCAGAGAGATACAGAGATACAAAGATACAGATACAAAGCTGAAGATTGTCTTGCGCAGCGATTAGTGGAAATCTTCAAGTGATTTCCCCTGCCAATGTGGGCAGCAAGTGCCGCTTCTCGTTTTGGATTCCCTAAGAATTGTCACGCCTTTTTGGGGGTTATTTCGAGGGGTTCTATATAAAGGTTTGTATCTCCTAACATCTTTACAAGAACTGTTTCATGTTGCATATAATATCTGTTCAACAATAGTATATTTTATTACTACTGCAACCTCATTTATTTTTTACCTTTTACTTTATTAGAAATAAATATTCTTGAATTTACCAAAATTTGTAATATTTTTTTTGTATTATGTTTTATGAAATTGAGTCTTTAAAGTTTGTTTTAAAATATTTTTAAATGATATATTAAAAGTGTATTGGTGATTCTTAGAGATTTTCAAATTCTATCAGGTTTTTCATAGAATTTTCATGGGAAAATGTCACTGACTGTAATCAATAATTATATTCCAATTTCCGATGAGCGTCATTTGTCAAACCATTAAACGTTTCCACTTTTGTATTTAAATATTCATCACTTTGGACCAAGCACAGGCACCTTTTGTATACAACATTTATGGTTTTTAAGCATTCGATTCATTTGGTTCCGCACTCAAACACACACTGGCAAAAAAAACGTATGCTATATGCATTCAGCATTCGGCATCCTTGGCGTCCCGGTGGCCATTGATTCGATTTACTCGCTGCCCTGGCCAATCGATTAGCGGCAACTGAATACCGAATGTTGGCCAAAAGCAGCCGTGGCTACCTTTTCATGGTTGCGGTTGCTGCGGCTGCTGCTGCTGCGGATGTTGCTGTTGGCTTGGGCATTAAGCCAAATGTTGCGGCTACTGTTTGGGGGGATAAGAAGATGGAGGCGAAGATGATGTTGCTGCCTGCAGTTCTTTGGTACACTGAAACTGTTAATTAATTCGCGTTCCGATTCGTTAACTGCATTTGAGATACTTTGAAGCGCGAAATTTTGTTTGCCGTTGCTGGTGTTGCTCGTAGTGTTGCTGGTGTTGCTGATGTTGCTGCTGCTGCTGCTGTTGCTGCTGGCTGACCAACGGACAGTCGCGGGGGCGGGGGCGTGGCCGTGCTGCTGCATCGAGCTTTAAACCGAAACCGCACTGAATCCACCATTGAATTCAAAATTCAAATTCATTCTATGGCCGCATGTTGCTGCTGCTGCTGCTGCTGCGCATAACGGTTGCTGGTAAACGGTAACAACTTTAACACCAACTATCTATATACCATATAAGATATATATATAAAAGACAGAGGCCCGCGAACGAAAGCACCGTTCGCCTCGACTAGCCAAACGCGAATAGCCAAGCGCCATCGAGTGGCCACCGCGAACCACTGGCAGTGGTGCTGCTTCCTCTTCTGCTCTTTCTTCTTCTTCTTCCTCCTCTTCTTCTTCTCGTTTTTTTTGGGGCGGAGGAGGAGGCGTGGCGGGGGCAAACCAGATAGCTCGACACCGAGCTGTCGCCATACGCAATATTATCAAATAGCCAGCGGCGAGGGCGGATAATAGAGCTTTAAAATTATCGATATTTTCGATATTTTCAAAATATCAATTTGATAACATCGATGTTTTCAAGGGAGAATAGTAAATTGTCGATATATTTTCTTGTTCTACCGGATAGACAGGTGAAACAAATAATCATAATAAAATCCCCTTAAGTATATAAGGTTTATATATTATAAACCATTCAAAGCCAATGATATTTTCATTGAAATTTCCCCTTGCTTACTTTCTTAAGTATGGTAGTCAAAGGGAAAAAAAGGTTCCCATCAATTAACATTTTTAAACTCTTTAAAGGATTTATTGGATGCACTTGAAAATATTATTCATACGAACAAATTTTTAATATCCTGGATGTGGATATTTAAAAGTACAAGGAAATGTGATATTAAAGAAGTATGCAACAAAATTAAACATTCTTTTAATCGTTTTATTATTGTAAATTATTTCAAAAGAAATAAATCCGCCCTCGCTTTCTTTTTTGCAGTACCAACACAAGAAGCACCAGCTGTCTTCATCGAGGTGTCTTCGCACGCAAAACTATCAAACGGTTTCCGACGAGGGCGGCTTGTAATGTTGTCAAGAATTTTTAATGACAATGAAAAAATGAATAATTAAATAATATATATTATTTAGATTTCTGTAATGTATTTTTAAGTAATTACTAGCTTATTAAGTAAGAAAAATATTTAGTTAAGACAAATAGGTAATAATATCGATGTCCTATGTTACATAATATTTATAGGGCATAATTTGTTACCTCAAAGACCTATACAAATTCAGTATTATAATATTTTTACCCCACGATCTGCCCTCGGTCTCATCTCTCGTTGCTTTCTGTGTCGCTGTGTCAGTTGTCATGTCAATTGATCTGCCTTGGCGCTTTGTAAATATGAATTTAGCTGGCGATATCGAGAGGAGCGATGAGCGGGGATTCTGACTGAGATTCTGATTCTGTGATTCCTTGGCCACCAGTCACTAGTCACCAGGCATAAGTTGCTCCACTTCGAGTGGAGTGGCGAGTGGGGAAAACTCGTTGCAACGGTGCTTTGCGGGGCTGTGAGGCTGAGTTTTCCAGTTTGACTCCAATTGAAAATAGCACACGATAGAACCCAAACGAAAACCAAACCTGGCCTGGCCTGGACTCGATTGGATTGGATTGAATGGGATGCTTTGGGATGGTATGAGATGGTACTGGATGGGTTAAGATAGGAGGGGTAAAGTACCAAAGATGGAGTGCATCTCGCTTGGCTGGCTGGCCTTCCCATTCCCAATTCTCCATTCCCGATATCCAGTTCCCAGCTACCAATTAAATGAATCAGCTTTGGACGCGTGCTGCTGTTGGGGCACAGGAATTTAGGTGAATCAAACTCTGGCCACGGATCGCTAACCCACTTGGCGTTCAGCTTTTCCAAGTTTTTCCTAGTTTCGCCAAGTTTTCCCCCCCGTTTCCCCCCTACGTTCTTTCTACTTTGTTGGATGAGCTAATAAGTTTTAATTAGTGCATTTAATTGACTGCTCATTTCTCAAATCAACTTCTTCGCTGATTCAGTTTATGATAATCAGATCGTTGCGGAGGATTTGGACATTTGAGCGCCTGCATAGAAATTATCATAAAAAGTTTGAGGCGCAACTGGCAAATGGAGCAAATTAAATGGACTTAAGAGTAAATGTAAATTCTTAGTAGAGAAAAATAAGTGCTTATGAATTTTACAGAATTTATATTTAAAAGAGATATCCCAACTTAATACATTTTTTCTACATTTTTGAAAGAATTTTGTAAGTTTTTTCTTTTCTTAAGTTTTTAATACATTTTTAATGCTTGATTGATTGATTGGTAATAAAGTAATAAATGCATTAATTATTTCATGGGTCCGAAATGCCAATTTATAAAATGCAAATAAATTTAAATCTAAATGCGTTTGAAGCAAGGATTTTGCAACCAACTCTTTTTCTCAATCAAATCAGATAAAAAGCCCCCAATGAGAATAATTGTCGCAAGTAAATGGAAAGAAACCGCATCGAATGGAAATGCAGACAGATCGAGGAAATAATAAAGCACAAAGTGGAGCTTGGCCATCGATCGTCGCCCGATTTCCCCGGTATATGGCAAATAAACACAAAGAACGGAAAAATGGAAAATTGGAAAAAGAGCTTTCACCCCGCGATGCAACTTTTGGAAACTATAAAGTGGGAAAAAGGTGCTCATCCACTTACCAAATATCCACGGATGCGGCGACCAGCAGTTGGACGCAATCGAGGCAGCCACGTGCGGCGGCATAGTGAAGGGCCAGAGCTCCTCCGTTGGGTCTTTCGCTGCCGGAAACGCTCCCCGGATGGTGCATCTGGTCCATGGGGGCCATGCCTCCCATGCCACCCATGCCTCCGAGATTCATCACACCGCCCACTCCGCCCAGGTAGGAGTCCAGCTGGTGGGCGTGCATTCTGCTCGGATTAATCGGATTGTTGTTGTGGAGCAGCTTGCTGCTGTGCTGCAGGTTATTTAGTCGGCTGCTGTGGTTCAGGTGCAGATTCGAGTTGAGCGCATAATCGTTTATGGTTCTGCAAGGAGAGAAAGGGGAAACATGGGTTAAACAAAGGTTCAATTATATCTCAACTTTAAAGCTTAATGTTTGTTTTGAAACAAACATTGCAGAAAAAAAGTAAATAATTTACAAATTAATTTTAAATTAAAAACTTTTTTGGTAAAACATAATACAAAAATTTTTAAGATCTTTAAAATGTTTGTCTTAAAACATATTTAAAGTATTATTTATAACTTGCTTACAGGAAAAATTGAGTAATTTACAACAATAAAATAACTACCTATCGTATTAAATTAAATACTTATATTTTTTATGAATATAATAAAGTATAACTAAGATTTAAAGCTCTTTGAAATATTTGCCTTAAGAAAAATAAAAGTAAATAAGTTGCTGAAGAAAATATTGCATACTTTTGGGCCGCCTTATAGCAAAAATTACAATCTACTTTTCTGCAGGCCAAACGAAAGACTTAAGACACAAACTTAAAGAAGAAAACGAAAGAAAATACAACAAAAAGTATTTGTTGTTGATATTTACCAAAGATAATATTTAATAATAATATAATATAAAATTTAAAAAATAACTTGTTTAAAAAATATGTAAGCTTTAATTGGAAAATATTCATGGCTTGAATATTTGTTGCAGTGAATCAATTCAGCTGTTTAAGCTCTCGTATTTAAGGAACTTATTTTTTTCTTAGCTCAAACTTAGACAAATTATTTATTTCCCCCGCAATTAATGAATTAATTATCCAGGGGAAGTGCCGGCAATTAACTTTGATGGCATCTGTCTGCGAATCTTCGCTTCGGCTGCACTTGGATTCACTTGGATTCGGGTGCCCTTTTCCGAATCACTAAACCAGGTCAAGTCTGCGCTGCTGACTCACCTGATTGCCGTTTCCGCGGCAACAAACAATCACAAACCTAATGACAATCATAATCTAAAAGCCAAGAGAAACAATACACGCGGCGACAAATTAATTGAAAGCTGAGAAGCAAAAAATGCACAAATGCCGGGCATTTGTGGGCTGAATCTCGTTTGTCGCTGCTTTCCACCTGTGGCAACATAAAACAGAAACAGAAAGCCGCCAAGACGACACTTTCTTCCAGTTTATTGCATCAACGGTGGCATCGCCGAATGGCAAGTGGCAAATGGGAAATGTTAAATGGGAAATGGAAGCGGGCCGGTAGCAGGTGTCAACAAAACAGGGCAGGTGCCACGAATTACCCACGAAACGCCAGAAAACCCACAAAAGCCACAAAGCTAACAAATCTGACAAAAGAAAGAGAAGAAAAGTGAAATAAGCGATTTGGCAACCGCATTGCAGGCCAGTTGGTCAACCAAAGTGGCAAAGTGGCAAAGGGGGCTAGGAAAATGATGATCTTCAAGGGTTTCAAGAGGTGCGATCTCTAGTTGGTGATATAATTCCTTTTCTTGATGAATTTTCCTAACCCATTAAATGGGTAACCATAATTAATTGAATTTATTTTTTGCTTCATGCAGCTATTTCAAAAATGCATCTACTCCCTGCCTTTATATGCAGTCTATTTTTACTCAAAAAATATTTATAAATATATCGAAGGCAACCAAGCAAATAAAACAGCAATTTAAGTGGATAAATTAAGGCGCTTTCAAGGCGAGCAAAATTAACTTATATAATTAAACCGCACTAAATAAACTTTAACAAGAAAAGAAGCCAACTTGGTCCTATGACAGCTATATTATATAGTCGTCCGATTTTTATAATATTAAATTTGAAACTCAGAATTATAAAAAAAAAAATTCCCAAGACTTTAAGAGACTAGTTTGCGTAGAAACGGACGGACAAACGTACGGACAGACGGACATGGCTAGATCGACTTGCATAATGATGCTAATCAAGAATATATATACTTATTTTTAGGGTCGGAAACTTCTGACTGAAATACTTATCAAATAGTTTTCATTAATCTGAACCAATCTATTAGTTCTACAACATCAGCATGTAGTTTTGCAAAGATATGTTGGGAAGGAAGGGGAGTGCCAGCCGAGTCGAAAGCTCGGAAGAGATGGAAGAACAGAGAACGGAAGAAAATAATCACTTAAGAAATTATACTCGTAGAGATCTGTGGGTTTCTTTTTAGTGGAATGGGAAAGCCGGTAAGCTGGTGGGAAATTCGCATGTGGCTAGCCAAAACCAAGAGTTCGCACAAAATACAATACGCAGAAAGATGGATAAATCAATAATATCTCCAAAGAATCAACTTAAGACTCATTAAGTCTTTCTTACATATTTACACTATCAATTTGCACTTCAAAAAAAATGTTTAAACTTTTTTCACTCTTGTTATAGATTTTTAAATATTTTTTCCCGTTTTTTTGTGGTTCTATAAATTGACACTTCACTGTGACTAATTGATTTTGGCGCGCTTCTATAATTATGGTGATTTGTTGGTTATTTTTTGTGGCGATTTCTTTTACCTCAATTTGATGGCTATGTCGCGGCACTTGATGCATGGCACCTGTCGGGATTCCTTGGCCGTTGTGGCTGCTGCACTGCCTCCCTTTTCCTTCTCCTTCTCCTTCTCCTTCTCCTTTTCCTCCTGTGGAGGGGCTATCGTGGCATACAGCTCTTCCTCCGTCTTCTTCTCCTCTGTATCAGCCTCCGTTTCGCTGGCAAAATCCACCACTAGCTCCTCGTTGGAATTGGCATCCTGGCCAGTGGCCATTTGCCTCCGGCTGAAGTAGCCCACATGCTGATCCACACCGGCACTGGCGTCCATTAGGATGCGCTCGTAGGCGGCACTCTCGTTCTCGGACAAAGCAAACCGCTGCTCGAAGACCCGCAGGGGCAGAGAGCTCTTCCTTAGCACCTCCATCCTCTTGTGCCGCAGCTCGATGGAGAAGATCAGGCGCACGCGCACCAGTCGCCGGAGTCCCTGGTGCGTTGACCTCGCCGCGTGCTGTAGCCTCCGACGCTGCTGGCGCAGCTCCAGCTTCTCCAGGCCCTTTAGCGACTTGGGATCCACCTGACCGTGATAATTGTAGTCCGCCACCGAGGTGAGATCCAAGGCGGAACGCGTCCTCCGCCAGGGAACCAGATCGAAATGGGCTCCGCCCTTCGCCGGATGGAAGTTCACCTGGCTGACGTTCGTGCTGCGATCCTGCCGGAGTATCCAATCCGATTGCCTCGCCTCCTGCTCCTTGGTGACCCTCACGTGATCGTTCCTCGCCGCCGCCTGCGGCCTGTGGCGCTTGTATCGCGGCACCAATGTGGCCTCCAACATCCGGGCATCCAGACCGTAGTCCCGACGCAGCTGCTCCAGTTCCCTGCTGCTGGCCGTAAACTGAGCACCGTTCCACACGATCACCGGGGCACAACTGGTCATTGTTTCTGTGTGTGTTCTATATGTTCGCTGCTATTTTCCCTGTTTTCCCACCCCGAAAGTTCTTTCTTTTTCCGGTTTCCGCTCGGCAATGTCGCGTTTGTCGCGTCCGCGCTCCGTGACGCCGGCGACGCAAATGTTGGCTGGCCAAAAAAAATATACACTAACTCTAAAAACGAATACGAATGCGAACACGAATCCGAATCCGCAGTCGATTCCTATGCAAAAACGTTGCGCCAACTGCGCTGCCAACAAACGCCACTCATGATTAAGAGTTTTCTGTTTTCTGTTATTGTTATTGTTATTGTGATTATGGGCTGTTTTGTTGCTGTTGTTGCTGCTTTGTTTGCTGATATTGCTGCCTGTTGCCACTACTGTTGCTGCTGTTACACGCGCAAAAATAAATGCGAAACTCAAAGGCTACACTTTTAATATTATTAATATGTTATACAAATATTATATAATATTATTAACATTATTTTATTGATTATGATTTTTCTACATTTTAATTTTACATTAATTGGAATTTTAAGGTATTTTTGGCTCATTTTCAAAGTTTAAAGCCTACTCTAAATTTAAAATTTAATAATAATTTGCTATCTTTTTGAAATTTAATAAAATATAATTTATTTTAAGAAAAAATTTTAAAAAATCATGTTCTTAAATATTTATTTGTTGTTTTCAAATATTAAGTAAACTAAAGACAATTTTTTTTTTTTTTTCCGAACATTTAATTTATCTTGGTTTAGTAGACCTTAATTTTCTCTGCGTACCAATGATGTTTGCTCAACATTGAAGAGTCGCGGGCTTAGCTGCCCCCTTTGATTGTATTATTTATTTATTTTTCACGCTCACTGTCATGTCAACTCTGCTCTGGGGCAACCCTCTGCCGGCGTCGCAGTCGACGTCGCTTCACTTGGCTGCGCACGCGTCAACAACAACAAAAGCAACAGGCATAATAATATTAACTAAACTCCATCGTTGTTGAAATTATCACTGCTGTTGCTGGGCATTCAACAATTTGAGTTCACAATTCTATTCTCTATACTAATTGACATTGTAGCGGCTACATTAAACAATAATCAAAATAAGCCCTTTTATTGTACACATATGTGAACTATATTAAGTAACCCCTATATCATGCGTATATGGGACTCCTATAAATCAATAATAATTTTGTATACTATTGTAAAGTATGTAATGTAAAATGCTAAAATGAAAACTATAAATACAAAATGGTCTTAGCCTTTAAAAGTTTTCTCATAGCCTTAAAAACAATCCCTATCATTTTTTATAGTAAGACCTTACAAAATATATATGCAAATATTTAAAACTAATAATATTACTGTTATTAAATATTTAGATAAGGAAGTAATGTTGTAATATTTTTTTAGAATGTATTTAAAAAGATGGTTATTATTATTATAATTTTGCAAGCACCTTAAATGATATACCCAATTAAATCCAATTTCATCATCGTTTTATCGTTTCTAATTTGCCTCGATCGAAGTTTAACTAATTTCCATAGAAAATATGCAATTAAGTTGCAAAATATCCGACTATTACTCGAAGTTCTCATTGCCTCTAAAACATTTTCCACATGAAGTGCTCTTTGTACGCGAGGAAGCATGCCAAATATCAATTATGTTTTGCACTATAGCTATACTATATATGTAGATATATTATATACCTATTTTAGAGAGCCCCCTTAGAACGAAATCAACTCAAGCGTGGCGAAAGCGAATGAATTGGAGGCGGGTCTGCAGCTTCTTGAGTGGCAATTGGGCAACTCCACCTGCGTTTTCCCCCTGCTTTTCCCACTGCTTTTTCCACCTGTGTGAGTGTCATGAGTCATGAACGGTGTGTGCAGGTGGCGTGAAGGGTTTCCATGATTTCTGGTTCAATGGCGCTCCGACTGCGGGTGTCATATGAACATTACGTGGCTTTTGGGCTTTCGGGCCCCTCAAAACCTCAAAACCTCTCCGGAATATCGTAATATCTTACCCAGGGGGTATGCAATGCGACCCACAAAGGGCAATGAAAATGAAAATGAAAACGCCAGAGATGAGAGCCATTAGGCCAGTGGACTTAGAAAGGCAGTCGTAGTTATAATGCAAATATAACAGAGCACATTATAATGGCCGACCATCCGCATTTCACGTATTTCCCATTCAAATTCAAATTCACATTCGGACGAACCGAAGGTTGGCCAAATCGCATCCATTCCATTCAGTCCATCAAAGTGGTGTGACATACATCCCATATTCCATCTCAATAATCAATAATATATTTATTGTATTTACGCTTGGCTCACATTGCCCGTGGGCACTCGGCGAAAAATTGCGCAAGGAGATTCGTTTCGTATTTGTATTTGGAGTTTCGGTGCCTTTAGCCCCATAAATTAGCATAGTGATAATAAAGAACCGCTGCAATATCTATAAAGATTATTGTCAGCTAATCTCCTCAGGAAATTAAATAATATTGTTTTTGGCGGATTTCTCTCGGCGAAAATGTTGAAGAATTAGTACAATAGTGAAATTTTTATGTCATCTTTTTAATCCCAAACATTAAAAACTAACTTGAAATGCGAAAAAAGCTACTTATTAATATTTTACTTAAGTTTTCTACTGGCTCAATATTTTTATTTATTGAATCCTAAACAAATGCATAGAATTCCGTATATAAGTCCTTAATATACTTTAAAATTCCTTTCTCTGACCCACTCCAAACTATTAATTAGCAAAATATTCGAGATACGAATATAAACAAACCAAAAACACCCGAAATCACCAGTTAACAAATGCTTCAGTGATTTTGAAGGGTAAAGCCATAAAAAAAGAAAAATAATTTCTTTTGGGCTGGAAAACAGTTTGTTTGCTAGATGGGTAACTGTGTGCCCCACTCGGCGGATGGCGGATGGGAAATGGGCATAAAAAGCACCACTCGCAGCAACAACAAAGGCCTTAATAGCAGTGTGGTGGGGCAATAAAAACGAAAGAAGAAAATGTAATGTGGTTACTGCTACTGCCACTCGGATTTGATCCATTTAATTACGAATTTTTGGGTAATTGCGCAATATGGAAAATGTGGATGTGTGGAAAATAAGTATGACTATCAAAAATTGGGTTAATTTTTGGGGGATTTTAAATTAATTTTAGGTGAAAAAATAAAAAAACAGTCTAATTTAGCTGAAAACATTTCTCAATTTAAGTATTTAGTATATTCTATATACATTTTTATTAAAATGCTGAGTCAAGTGTATATAAAATATTTGTATATTTTACGGAATTTAAATTCTTTGACTTCCGATATTCGAACTTCTGCTACCTTAACTCGCATACTTTTACTTTTCGCTCTTTTGTTTTTAACTCTTTTGTTACTATTTTTGCCCATCAAAAGCAGAACAATCCGCTAGCCTTCGATCCAACGGTAAACGCTTCGCTTCCATCTATCCATCGGATCGGAGATCTCACATAAACATAAATATATCTCGCCTCATCCGTCAATTCAAATTCAAATTTTCGAACGACCGAGAATCGAAACGCGGGAAGTTTTCACTTTCGTGTGTTTTCGTGCTTTTGACAGAGGGGAAAAACGAAATGGAAGAGGAAGAGGAAAAGAAGAAAGCAAAAGTCAATGTGCTAAACTTTGGAACTTTTGATGAGCCCCAATCTATTGAGAATTTTTGGACATCATCAGCGGGCAATCAGTATTTTAAAAATCACACAGAAAAAAAAATGTATAAAAAAATAAAAATATTTTTAATTATTATAATTTATTTTTATTGTTTTATTATCAGAACAACTCAATACAAAATATTTGTATTAACCAATTTGTACATTTAAGTCAACGAAAATATTTATTTTCTCTATTTTTCTAGCTCTACCATTTATACCCATCTCCCTCGGTGAATCTCCCGTGTCATTCATATGCAAAACAGCGTTTATTCAATCACTCATTCATGCGATTCAAATGAAGTTCGTCTGTGAAAGTAAGCCATGGCAAAAGTCCGAGAAACAAACATATTTGTCCAACAATCAGCCGACAACAAATGGACAAACAAGACGAGACATCTGCGTCTGTCCGTTCACCTGAAGACTCACCTGAGTTGTGACAGGTCGTGGTCCCTCCCCCCGCCCCCCGACACCTACGGTCCCCCTTCCACCCCCGCCCCATTGAGGAAAAACGAAATCTCCAAGAGGAGGAGATCGGTGAATGCCCTGCCGTCGAGTGACGACTGCAAGTGAGTCAACATGAATGCAAATATGAATATGCAGAATACCCTTCACCAAACTTTGAACTCGAAGCTTTGAGTTTGAAAATCTGTGGAAATATTATAATGGAGACTGCTCTAGTTTTAAGGGTTATCAACCATTTTTGATCTATTTAAAGAAAAGTAAAGTATCTTTGATTACAGAAAATCAACGAAAACATGTAAGTAAATCTATAATATTTCAGTAACTTTAAATAATCTTAAATCCATTTAAGGTTATGGAAAGTAATGTATCTTTGATTACAGAAAATCGATAAAAACATCTAATCAAATCTATATTATTTCCATAGCTTTAAATAATTAAAATACTTCTAAAAAAAATAATGAATAGAATTAAAGTTAATATGCTAAGTGATTTTTAGAATTATATTACTTATGGTAAAAATCATTTATTTAATAAAGAACTTGGAAAATTAGAAGTGATAATTTTGAAAGCTTTATAACTCAGTGAATCCATTTGATATAAGTTTATACTAAACGAATATTGCGCATAAATTAAGCAGCTCAAGTGGCCTTTAATGGATCTCGTGCACACAGAGCCGCCAAACATCAATGAACTTAGTGGATTTATGGCTCTCCCTCGGCGGCTTTCTGCGCTCTGCTAATGACCAAATGCGTGAGGCTCTTGGACAAATGGCCAATTACGATTGGCGACAACCACACAACACACAAAAGCCACGCCGATGGGTGGGAAACCCGTTCGAGGCGATGGAAAACATGGAAAGATGCAAGATGAAAATGCAGCGAGCAGCAAACAGCGAAAAATGTCGTATGTAAACGGTTGCCTTAATAATCGACATTGGTGGAAAGTTGCCACTGCCAGCCGGTTGT